TTGTATTTTGTCTTCAATGTGGAAGGGATGGTCACTCTCGAATTGGCCTTCTCAGCCCCACTAGATGCTGTTCCAAGTGCTCCATACAGAGCACGATACCACCGTCTCTCAAGACTGATGGATGCCTAATTTACTCTTAGATTTTAAAATACGATTTCCAGGACAAGGTCAATTCTGTCTCAAATCTTGACTTGAGAGCCAGGGAATGGATATTTCAATGAAGAACCTCCATGTAAACCCATCCCCAGACTAGGTCAAGATGTACCGTCAACTCACTGATGTGAGTCAAAACTCATTGTTTTGCTTCCAGAACAATTAGGGTTGGAACCTTTTGAGATATTTTGAGCGGCTTTGTGATTTTTCAAGAATATTTCCATAAAGTAAAAGATAGAAAAGCCACATTGCTCATCAAGTGACCAAAACAATAGGTAACGTATTGCTGTACCCCAGCCCTTTGTCTTCAGTGTGGAAGGGATGGTCACTCTCGAATTGGCCTCCTCAGCCACACTAGATGCTGCTCCAAGTCCTCCATACAGAGCACGTTACCACCGTCTCTCGAGACTGATGGATGCCTAATCTACTCTTAGACTTTAAAATACGTTTTCCAGGACAAGGTCGATTCTGTCTCACAACAAATCTTGAGAGCCAGGGAATGGATATTTCAATGAAGAACGTCCATGTAAACCCATCCCCAGACTAGGTCAAGATGTACCGTCAACTCACTGATGTGAGTCAAAACTCATTGTTTTGCTTCCAGAACAATTAGGTTGGAACCTTTTGAGATATTTTGAGCGGCTTTGTGATTTTTCAAAAATATTTCCATAAAGTAAAGGATAGAAAAGCCACATTGCTCATCAAGTGACCAAAACAATAGGTAACGTATTGCTGTACCCCAGCCCCACCACGTTCTAAACTCCGGGTGACCTCCACGGGCTGGAATGCTGGATCCCAATCCGAATTCAGCCAAGACTCCTCGCTCAAAGGCCCACAGACCTTGCTGAGCGTGAACAAATGAGCTGAAGCTTCTTTTGTTTCACCAGATCTGGGGCGTGGGTGCACAGGCTGAAATCCTGTTGCTCAGCCTAATAAGTCACACTAGACCAGACCCATTGAATGAGTGGGGATTCAGGGAGTCAGTGTCTCTGTAAATTCCATGGATTCACATGAGCCTATCCTAGCTGTGACTTACTATGCAAAGCCAATGGTTCCCAAGCTTGGCTCACCGTGGTGTTCCTGGACTGCGATTCCCAGCAGCCTTCACTGCCAGCTGTGCTAGCTGGGGTTTCTGGGAGTTGCAGTTTGAGAGCACTGGGGTGGCCCAAGGCTGGGGGAACCCCTGATTTATGTGACCCGTGGTGTTCCTGGACTGCGATTCCCAGCAGTCTTCTGTGCTACCTGAGGTTTCTGGGAGTTGCAGTTCGAGAGCACTGGGGTGGACCAAGGCTGGGGGAACCCCTGATTTACGTGACCAATGCACCAAACAGCCTGTTTTCATCTCACTGTGCTAGAACTCTGCTTTTAACATGCTGGGAAAAAGAACCACCAATACAGTGTGTTACACATTATCAAGTCACTTCCAACTTAACGGTGACCCTCATGTGATTTTTCAGGCTACTGGGAGATATTTAAAGAGTGGTCAAGTCACTTCCAACTTAACGGTGACCCTCGTGTTATTTTTCAAGCTACTGGGATATATTTAAAGAGTGGTTTTCCCCACTGTTTTCCCCAGTGTCCATGGCTGATTTAAACACAGGTCTAAACACGGAAAAGGAAGCCTATTCCGATATTCTATCCACTATTGACAAGTGCACCTTGGTACCCCAAAAATTATTTTATTTATTTTTATTTTATTAGATTTATTCCCTGCCCATCTAGACAGATAGTCTACTCTGGGTGGCAGCTTGGGTAGGAAAGTAACTTGCTACCCAAAATGTAACTTGCTACATGTCTTATTCCCCAGCAGACAAGCAAAGACATTAGAACCAGTTGTATTGGCTCTTGCCTTTCCATTGGACCATTTCAGCAATGTGGAGAGGGGGGATCTGCTGCTTGGGTAACAGCCTATCCTCCATATTACCTTACCCGGGCTTCATGCTCTGGAGAGGACACTCCTCGATTCAGAGCATGTCTCCATAGTCTCTCGAGACTGAAGGATGCCTATGGTCTTTCCCCAGTGTCCATGGCTGATTTAAACACAGGTCTAAACACGGAAAAGGAACCCTATTGCGATATTCTATCCACTATTGACAAGTGCACCTTGGTACCCCAAAAGGTATTTATTTATTTATTTTTTATTACATTTATTCCCCGCCCATCTAGACAGATAGTCTACTCTGGGTGGCAGCTTGGGTAGGAAAGTAACTTGCTACCCAAAATGTAACTTGCTACATGTCTTATTCCCCAGCAGACAAGCAAAGACATTAACGCTGGACCAGCAAGCGCTGTCCTGCCCCCTCCCTGACACAATTTAATTGTGTGTCTTGTCTTTACTGCACTTTTGATGCACTTAAACTTCATTTCGTTTCATTTCGGCCTGTGTTCCTAGCCATGAGCCCGGTCACAAAGCACCCATGAATGCATTTACTTTTCATCTGCACGAAGTCGAGCTGATGGATGGACTGCAGCAAGGGGGCGCTATCCAGGTTGAGATCAAAGTCCGTTGTCATCCTCGGGGAGAGCGTCCCTTTCCCCCACTGGTCCTCGGTCAGGTGAACCCTTCGGATCAGAGCATCAGAGATCTGATGGCAAAGAACAGCAGACAATCAGTGTACAAGGTGACACAGCGGCGGAGAAGCCAAGGAGAAAAGCATTACAGGGGAAAAACAAGCTAATAAAAATGAAAAGAACAAATGAAAAAGACAAAAACGTTGTGGCACCTAATCTGTTCCAATGCTATCTTAATACACTAGTGGATGCTATTGGTCTCTACCACCCCCTCTAGTAGTCCATTCTGGTAACTACACCTTTAGAAATAAATATTTCTAGGATTTCTCTTTTAATACAGTGGTGCCCCGCATAGCGACGTTAATCCGTTCCGGATTAATCATTGTTATCCAGAAACATTGCTAAACGGAACTAAAAACCCCATAGGGGTTCCTATAGGGCGAAAACTCACCATTCAGCGAAGATCCTCCATAGTGCCGCCATTTTCGCCGCCTCGGTAAGCAAGAAAACCGCGCGAAAATGCTTGTGGCGGCCATTTTGGGCACCCAGCGGCCATTTTGGAACCGCCGATCAGCTGTTCTAAAAACATCGCAATGCGATGTTTTCCCATTCAAAACCTCGCAATGTGATCGCATTAGCGATTGCAAAAAATAGATCACTATGTGGATTCATCGTTAAACGGTGCGCTCGTTATGCGAGGCACCACTGTATTTTTAATATTTTCAGACCACTGAGAAGTGAATCAGCTGATACTGATCCTACAGATATGGGGGTCCTATTGTATTTTAATGTGAGCTTTCACTGGCAAGTCAACTTCCTCAGACATAATATGAAATAATCACATGAGAAATATTTATACATGGCATAAAAATACAGGGATTGTGGTTGGCTGGTTGGTTAGAAAATCAATGGGTATTTAACAGTAAGGTGATAGCCTCTTTGAAATACAGATATATTCCATTAATGGTTGTGCTGTAAAGGATGCAGGAAACTCTGTCAGGAATAACAATGGTAGAACAACCTGAATGTTAATTACCTGTATTCTGAAGAGAATGGTCTTTTAAAGTTTCTAATGACCTTTTCTTTTATAGGAGATAGTCTGGGGTAATTCACACATCACAATTCACGCAATGATGTGTGAATTAACTCAGGCCATAGATGACCTGAAGAGCAACATGGCAATGAGTTAAGACACTTTGGTTTATCTTTTTTTTAATGGATCTGTTAAGAAGGAAAAATATATCTAGCAGATATAATGCAGTACAATTATGGTACTGTTCATATTTTGCAGTGCCCTAAAAAGCCTTGGTTTATATTCAGTCCATTGAGATGGGTGATTTGCATGTGTATATATTTTATCTCAGCTGGCTTTCTCTGGATTCTTGTCCTGTAGTTTCTTTTTTCTGGAATGGCCACTTTTAGATCATGTGTAGAATGTCCTGGTAAATTAAAAGTCACATAAAATGGGTTTCTGTGTGTTTTCCCCAGGAGCAAAAGGAACCCTATAGTTTCACCGAGAGCACAAAAAGATAAATTAGGAGGGGGAAAGCACAAACCTGTAGGAATCCACTAGGATCGTTCTCCTTGATGACTTCCAAACAGTATTCCATGAGACCTGTTGTCTGACGCAGCTTCACGGTACAGTGAGAGATCTGATCACGCACCACCTGGAATGAGAAAGAGAGAGAGAGAGAAAGAGAGAGAGAGAGATCAAACACATTCCGACAACCATACCTCCAGGAACACATTATTGCCTATGAGTGGATGCTAAGCAGGGCTGCGCCTAGTTAGAACTTGGAGGAGAAAGTCGAACAGAGATCTTAAGCTGAGAGAAGCACAGAATGGGGAATGAAAACTTGGAGAGCCACTGCTGCCGACCAGAGTTGGCAGTATATAGCTTGCCAGCTCCCCAGGGCACTCTACAAATATGGGAGGTAGTAATAAAGTGATGGTTGGAGAATATATTTCAGTTTCGTAAGACCAGCGTTGCAGGAAAGCCAAAGAATCATCTCTTCCTCTGGCACCCTCCTGTCTCCCCCATGAATTTGGCACTGTACCCAGGAACCAGGGGACAAAAATGGCACAGCAATCTTTTCTAACACACCATCCCCACCCTGTCTTTTAATGGTGTAAGCTGCCTTGTATCATTGTAAGGAAGAAAAGTGGGGTAAAAATATTGGAAGTAAGGAAGGAAGGAAGGAAGGAAGGAAGGAAGGAAAGAAG